AAGTTGTTCTCATCCCGGCTGAAGTGGACTGCAGTTTCGACCTCGCGTCGGTCTTATCAACACCCTCAGCGGGATGAAAACAACTTTTGGGAAAGCAGGGCTATGTGAAATTGAATGGAAACGTCAGCTCTACTCACATCATTGTGGGAAAATTATTCTTCTACAAGTCCTTCATCACCTTAAACGAAATTGAGTGAATACATCTTACAATTATTTACACAATATTTTACAGTTTGATACTTTTCTCGATTGACTTTTCCTTTATATCTATGCATGCCTTGATTAGTTTATTGGTTTACTATTGCTATTGTTACCGGGTGAACTTTGGCAACATATCTACCTGTTCTGCTTGGGGTGACCCAGCATGGATAAGGTTTATTTCACGACAAACTTTACTACCGAGGGAGAGAGTGTATAAAGGCAGCCAAATCATCATCAGCATCAGCATCATCCTCGAATGCTCGAACAACCTCGGTATCCTCCATCTGTCTCTTTGTGGGCCAGTCAACTATCTGCAAGCAAAGACGAAGAGATCAAGAGGTTGTCTGGAGCTCGAGAGCATTCATACTTTCTCACAATACACCTCGTTTGGCATAATTAAGAACGAGTCATTTTAGGAAGCTTTAGATGATGCTGAAGGGCTAGTCGAATTTCACACAATACAATGAAGGAATTAACGATATGAAGACCAAGATGTTGTGGCCATTTGGTGTGGTCACAGTCTCCTTTCGATTTATACTAGTGCGTTGACCTCGTTCTCGCAACTTGGTCTCGTTGCCAGGGTTACTTAGTAGAACGCAACTAGTCCGAAGTCGTCTGTCATAGTAGTTGTCATGGTTCCCAGCATCCGACAGTGGACTTGGTACATTCTCCCTGATGATGCCGACTACGATGCCGACGAAACGTTTGAGAATGTACCAAGTCCACTGCAGATGCTGGGAATCATGACAAGTACTATGCCAGACGACTTCGTTCTAACTGCATTCTACCAAGTTGCGACAAAGAGGTCAACCCACTTCTATAAAATGAAGGAATATTGGACTTTCTTTCATCTCATTTGATAGGGCGGGTAGAACGGATTCATAAAGTTGCCTAACCTGGAAGCAAAGTAGGATTTTCTCGTGGTGTTGAAAGCGACTCACCCTCTGGCGGCCCCGACCAGTCCATGCTGAGCTTTTGTCGGTACGAGAAGCATGTTTTGAGAAAAATTTCACCAAGAACACAAACATAAAACAACAGTTTTGCCATCGGCTGTTTAAAAGATGTTACTACTTTCCAGAGGCATTCATCCAATTAACATAGATTTGATGCAACTCTATAGTTTTAGAACTTGATTTTGTGCCAACCTATTCATTATGGCCTTCCGTCAGTAAAAATCTGAGGACTGATAATTGAATTTTCCCATAATCATATGAGTAGACCTAACGCTTGCATTGAATTTCACATGGCCTTGCTTTGTTAAAAGGTTTTCTCACTCCGGTTGGAGTGGACTGCAGTTTCGACCTCGCTTATATCACAATTGACATTTGAATAAATGCAAAATAAAATAGAAATAAATTGAAAGAACACATTCAAAGCAAATTTAATGTTAGAATCTATACTTTGACTTTGCGTTACGGAGATTCTGGGTTGACGTTCTGGTGATTTTTTGGCAAATAATACTTTCTGGCTGTGATAATGCTTGTCATATGTCAGACGAAAGATCAGCATGGATTCTTCAGAGTCGCAACACAGTGAACCGAGTTATTTTTCGCCCATTTCAACAGTTACAACTCAAAGGTCATCCTACTTCGGTTCCGGGTGTGGCTAATTTACAATTGCTTTGCACACACCCTCTTAAACCGAATGAAAGATATACTAACACCATTACAATAAGAGAGTCTTTGGCGCCCATCTTCTCTTTATACAAATACATGAAATGTAGTTATCTCATAATTCAATTGAATTTCGATTAGCCCAACCTTCTAAAAGGCTTCCTCATTGGGCTAGAATTGCAATTTCAATCTCACCTAGGCGTCGTCTTTACTCATAAGAGAATATGAAATTGAGTTGAGTATCTCAAGCTGTACCATTACTCCTCACAGTCCGTCATAGGGCAGACGCGGCATTCACGGCGAACTAATCCTGTTCAAAATCAATAGTACAATTAAGATAAACAAATTAAAATTAATTAAAAAGAAACCTATGTTTTTCATTACAATCGACAATACTACTATATTCCTGCAGAGTAGTGTTAGAAATTATTAGTAAAATCTACTGATAATTTAACAATATACTCAATAAGTCTATTAGTATGTTGTTATCTATAATGACAATCATAAATATGAGTTGTGAAAGTCGCATCTGCCCAGTTTCTAATTTCACACAACTGCTGTTCAGGTTGGATGAGAAAGTCTTCTGGGGAATTGAAATTCTAGTCTGGTATTATTCCAGGCGACCTAAGGCTAATCGTTCTTATTCAGTAATCAGTAATAGTTTCGTAACATACTCACTACTTATATTAGTTTGCATGCTTCAACTCCACTTTTGATCGTGTTTTTACTAACTAGTAGGCTTTATTATGCACAATAAATAGTGTAGCTAAGCGGCTCCAGTGCTGAGTAGCAAACGCGTCACTTGGGGCAATCAGCCCGATTCCTGCGGCATCGAGAGCCGAGTGGTAGCGGGATGGTTTACAATTGAGACTGATATATCATTTTCTTAAGCCAACTTGGCATTTGCATGGCGTGCCGCATCTTCAAATTGTGATTTTTAACCCGAGTGTTACATTTAATTGTTTTTTTGTTTTTTTTAATGTGTCCAGCGTTTTTACGAGCAATTTTATATCTTTTTGGATTGCACCCTGTTTGCTAGAATTCGTCTACTATAAGTAGTATAGGCCCCGAGTAATTTTATATGAATTGTGTGTAATGACGAGATGTGTAGTCCATTCTCAACAGACGACGACGGTGGATCTCATTTGTTGGTATTGCACCGTTCAGGCGGACACAATTATCGGCAGACTCTCGGGTTATAGAGAAGATGTGCTCAGTCTTCTTCGGTCACCTCACTTTGCGGACTTCAAGAAAGCTGGAACAGATTTTATAAAAACTC